GTGGAGCTGATGAGACAAGGAATCATCGAGAGCTGCATGGGAGGAGTCAGATAACCTCGGATCCATCACCGGAGGACGGCGGCGATGAAAACAGCGACGGCGACGGTGAATTAGGGTTGTCATTGACGCTGAAAAGTAGCAGCAGTAGTAGTAGTTCATTGATTGGAAGAAGATTAATGCATGGAGAAGGTGAGGAAAGGGGAGAGAAGAGTAAGGCAGAAGAGATGAATTCAACTACTGGATTTACACCGACGCCACCGCCACCGGCGGCGATGATACAGAGCAACCCCCCGCCGGGATTTACTGCCGCCACTTCTCCTCCCAACAAAAAAACTAGGGTTTCCGTCCGGGCTAGATGCGAAGCTGCCACAGTGAGTCCATCATCTCGATCTCATCTTCATGTTTAATTTGTTCATTTATATTTATTTTTTTTTTAAATCGCGAACCAATTAATTAAACTATTAAATTTCTTCTTGTATTTATATTTCAATCCCGATATAATAAAATTTTTTTCATATAAAAAATCACACCAATTACTAGCTTAGTTATCTTTTATGTTTAATGTTAACACGTACGAATAATTAACGAATTAAAAGAGAGAATTAATTATGCATGTGAATTGGACTTTGATTTTAGATGAACGATGGATGCCAATGGAGGAAATATGGTCAAAAAATTGCAAAAGGAAATCCATGTCCAAGAGCCTATTATCGTTGCACAGTTGCCCCAGGGTGTCCAGTGAGAAAACAGGTATGTACTAAGCTACTTATGAAAATTAAATTGTCAATACATCCATACCATGTTTTATTTCCTAGTAGTTTTATAATTATCACTCTAGAAAATCTCAAAATTTTCCATTACTGAAACTGGTTGAAAATGGTATTTCTGAACACTTTGATGATGATAAAAACAATCTTTTGTCGACATTACTAGCAAAATTATTACAATTTAGTTGGTAACCACAAGATTATAAGTTCGACTTCCCATGAGAGTGATCTATTGATTTTCTTGATTTGAGTCAGTCAAATATGTGCAACTTAGGCTGCTTTACCTCATTGCGGTCCTTATTCGATTAGGTTCATAAGGCGGGTTTATCCAGTGTACACTCTCAACTTCTCAAGTAGTGGTTGAAAATAAGGACAACCTAGCCAAGTTGAATTGGTCAGTTGATTTGGTTTTAAGTTTGACTCTCAGTGAGAGAGACCTATTAACTTTTTTGCATGGTTTGAGACAGTGAGTTATGAAAAACCTAATAAGCCGATTTATCCTTTGTGACCCTTTGTCACTAACTTAATTTATTAGTGTATACTTTCAAATAGTGACTATTGATTGATTTTTCTCATCACCTAACAAAAATTTTGGTGGTTATTTAAGTCCATCGACCATTTTGTTCTTAACTTGTGTGATTGATGATGATATGAACTAGGTACAAAGATGTTTAGAAGACAGATCCATATTAATCACAACCTACGAAGGAACACACAACCATCCACTTCCGGTGGGCGCGACGGCGATGGCATCAACCGCCTCGGCAGCCTCGCTCATGTTGCTGCAGGATTCCACCAACCCAATCTCCAACCTAAACCACGCATTTCTCATCCCTAATTACAACCACAATCCACACTTAATCATCAACCCTAACAACCCTTCTTCCCACCTTAATAACATCCCAAACCTCGTACGAAACAACAGCATCATAAACCCTACTACCATCCCTGCTTCAAACCCATCATCATCGTCGTCGTCGCCGCATTACTGGGGGCCAAAGCTACCTGATCATCATCATCATCGTCAGATTGAGCTGCGATCCAACGGCGGAGATCGAACTGGTGATAGTACCAATAAAAATGATCATCAAAACATGAGCGCCGCCATTGCTGCTGATCCTAAGTTTAGGGTTGCGGTCGCGGCGGCTCTTTCCTCACTCATCGGTACTAAAGATCAAAGCCATGCATCCTCGTGAAAAGGAACAACTAACAGTACCAGTCAGTGAATTAAGGTAGCTGACGAAGGACAGTTTAATTAATTAAGGTTGATTATTGGATCATGGTCATACGTACGGTGTTACTTTGTATTATTGTAAGTATATCTTATATAGACTATTGCATTTTTGGTTATGATTATATAACCCGTTACTTGATCAATGTGAGATCCATTGAAATTTTATTTTTCACTTTCTTTTCTTTTATACTATACTATATTTTGCTTTTGAATATTATTAGTAGTAGTTTAGCTTTGTCCCAGCCTCCGAGGCTGGTTCCATGAGAGATCTAGACTACTGTTCCAAGGTTCAAGAAGTTGGATATAAGGGCAATCTTAGCCAAATTGATGGGGCAATTAACTTGATAAGTATAAGATTTTAAGTTTAATTTGTTTGTGGTTGGGAGCTTAATTAATCACGGGTTTCTAAGTTTGACTCCCTATATGAGTGATTGAGTACTTGGTGTATTGGCAATCGTTATTGACCTTTTCCCTAAATCAAAGAGGTTAGTTGGGCTATTGACTTAGTAACCATAAATCAAAGATGTTGATCGAGTTATTAACATAATTACGAGGTTCAAAGTTCGACTCACAGTGAGAGTGGCCTATTGACATTTTTTGTTTAAGTAAGTTAACTATGGACAATCTAGGAGTGTTACCTCTTTGTGATTATTTGTTAACTAAGGTTACAACTTACAAGTCAAGGATTATCCCGTGTATACCCTCAAATAGTAACTACGGAATTCCGTTATCACCTACAATATTTAAAAAAAAAAAAAAAGATTAGATACATCATACATGTGAAATTGTGAATTAACTAACCATTACAACTTACATCAAAAAAAAAAAACTAACCATTACAACTTAACCAAGGAATCATCATAAATAAAAAAATTGGAGTAGCAATTAAACACACACACACACACATAAAGAGGATGACTTAACATAATTATTCTACATAAGAAAATGAACTTAAACATGTAATTATGAAAAGAGATGTAACAAAATAGCTATTCTCAAATGAGCTTGGTCGAGACTAATTACTCTCATTTTGTGATATTCAGTTATACGGAGTAATAATATACTATGGAGAAATAAAAAGAAAAAAAAAAATGTAACGGCAACAGTTATACCATGGACCCGGTCTACCTTGCAACGTGGACTCATATCTAAAATACATAATTTACATATTGAATGTTCACAATTTGAATTGTAAACATTTAGTATGTAAATTGTAAACATTTAATATGAAAATTGTATATATTCAGTATGTAATTGTGTACTTTTGGACCCAGAATATAATTTGCCATGTAACGGAATTGTTCGCAAATTACCTGTTTTGGATCTATGTTTTACTGGGCAAATTATGCTGTTAAAACGTGTCCACCTTGCAAGGTGGACACAGTTACAAAACTGTTCATGATTATGAATATATAGTTTAAAAATTATGAACATATAGTTTTATAATTATGAACATAGAGTTGTGAATATAATTATGAACATATAGTTATGTAATTATGAATATAGAGATTCAGCAATTGTGAATATGAAGTTCAAAAATTATGAATATATAGCTTTATAATTATAAACATATAGTTCTGTAATTATGAACATAGAGTTCTGTAATTGTGAATATAGAGTTCAATAATTATGAATATGAAATTAAAAAATTATGAATATATAGCTTTATAATTATGAATATATAATTCAGTAATTATGAACATAGAACTGTGCCCACCTTGCAAGATAGATACATTTCGACAGCATAACGATTGGGTTTACTGAGAAGTGAGAACCTTTAGAAAGCCCAGTCCAATCTCACAGCATACTTATTATTAGATGGCAAATTATGCTATGCATTCGTATGCACCTTGCATGGTGCATACGGATGCAAAAACGACATCGTTTTGCATAAAACGCGCGCCATACTTTAAAAAAAAAAAAAAAAAAAACCAGTTTCGATTCCCAGCAACAACATTATGTTATTCATTTTTAGTTTATTCATTTTGGATTTTTTAGTTATAAAATTCTGGAAGTGTAGTTATGCAATTATGGATGTGTAGTTATGCAATTCTGGAAGTGTAGGTATGCAATTCTGGAAGTGTAGTTATGCAATTCTGGATATATAGTTATGAAATTATAGAAGTGTAGTGAAATTATGGATGTGTAGTTATACAATTATGATTTTCTTTTTTTAAGTTAGACGCCAAAACGACACCGTTTTTGCATCTGTATGCATGGATGCAGAGCATAACGCTCCTTATTAGATGGGCTGGTTTTCTGGTTTGGGCCGAATACAATCTTTGGGCCCATGAAGGAAAATACCAATATATCATCTTCAAATAAGATGAAGAGTTTCGACCATGCTTATTAGGTGGACCATGTATAATATGCATTCTTTTTATTTATATAATACATTATTTTTTATGTGTATGGTACATTATTTTTATACGTAATATTTATTATTTAAATATGTATAAAATAGTAGGAAAAAAATTTGAGTGTTCATGATTTATATTTATAAGGTTCACTACTTATGTGCATAGAGTTCATTATTTGAGTATATATATACAAACTGATTGAATGTTGATTATTTAATCATGTATATTTTATACTTATTTTGTATGTACATAAAATTTATTATTTGTAGAGTATAATTGGACTCATTAGACACATCAAACCTCCTTATAAATTTGATATTTAGTAAATATTCACTCCTTCATATTTAAAGTGTCTGGTTCAGTTTGACTGAAGTTATTTTTAGTTCAAATTTTTTCATAATATTAAGTTTAGTATTAATATATAAAATTTATATATTTATAAACTACATTAAAAATAATAGTATTAACCAAAAAAAAAAACAAATTTAAAAATAAATACAAATATTAAAGAAAATAAACAAAAGAAAGAAATAGTTAGTTTGACCGACCATTAAAATTTACCTAGTTCGGATGGGAAAAGGAAAATACGAGAAATTAGGGGCATAGTTGAATTAATTATAAGTGTGCTTTGGTCTCTTTCGCTATGTGTCGAGGGTTTTTTGGTAGACGGTGCAAAAACGAGAGTCGCAGAGAGAACGGAGTGTTGCTCAGAGCCAAAACAATGGCAAGCGCCGTCGCGGAGAAGACGGAGGAGGAGCTGCGAAAGGAAATTGATGAACTCAATCGTCAACGACGCGAGGTCTGTTTCTGTGTATATACATACATGATGTATACGTGTGGTCTGTGTGGCTGTTTTTCTGTATGTCTCTGTGTGTACGACGAGTATTTTCTTTGTCGGCAGATAACTGAACGGCTTCGCGATCCAAGAGGCATTCGCCGCGGTGGATTTACTGGCTCCGGTCCTCGGAATTTCGTCGCCAACGGCGGCCGCCAGCGTGGCCTTGTCAGACCGGTAATCCTATTCTACCTATCTCGATAAGCAACATTTATGTCTGATATATGTGTGTTTGGTCTAAATCGTTAATTGAGCTCATACTCGTCGATTCACTTTAGGCCGAGAGGAATGATGCTGAGGATCAGCCGATGCCAAAAAAGAGATTATTGTCTACAGTAGTTAAGGTGAGCAGTAAATATATATGATCCTTTACTACTAATTTGGCTGATTTACTGGATTTGTTGATTTTTTTAATTTTTTTTTTCATTGGCTCTGGTTTGAAGATTGAAGATGGGGAGATTGTGGAGGACACTCCTGAAACTCCCAAAGAGATGAAGGACTCTGTTTATGAAGAAAGCTCAGGAAAAACAATTGCAACACAGGGTGAGAGCAAGCCAGGAACCTGGTCTAGGAGGGATGGGAATCAAAGGACCTTCAAGATGGTAACTATATTAGTTTTTCCTACAAGCTGTCTATATGAATGCTTGTTTCACCAAAATAGTGAACATATTTCTGCTTATGTTGTGATTAGGGCTCTGATATTCCTCCGCCAGAGCATGTTCCAAGAGTGTTGCCAAAAGATGAAGATCCTAAATTGGTTAGTAGAAATAAGAGAATGCTGGGCCAACTTCTGGGGACATTAGAGGTATGTGCCAAATTCTCTGTTTAGTCTCCCTTGATGAAATAGGGGTAAGCCGAAATAGGTTTATGCATTACTAAAATTAGCACCTATATTGAAACTATTGCTGGAATATATTTAATGGCTTAACTTAGTATGGAATAATGAAAATGTTGCACTGAACATTCTTGTAGCTCTAGACTGTCCAAGGAAAAATAACCCGTTACTCTCTCTTATGATGTTACTTGAACTCTAGGTCCTGGTTACTGTTTACCATTAGAATGCCATGATATCATATTATTTATGCCTTAAACCATATTACCATTTTAAAAGAATAACAAAATCTTATTTGTTGATACCTCTCTTGCATGGTATGTCTTCAGAAATTCAGGAAAGAAGACATGCAACTTTCTGGCTCTGAAGCATATATGCGGAGGTCAGATTCTTTGAAAAGGGTGAGTTTCTGTTCACTCTCTTGTAGCTTACACACTGATTTCTCTGTGTTTGTACTTTTTAATTTAAGTTGGTGAAAATCTACCAGCCTGACCAGTGAAGATTAAGATTTGAATTCTCAAGCTTCAAAATGTTTTCTTACACATTGATATTCTTTGTAATAGTTTGGCAATTTGGAATCCTGCAGTTAAGGTGTATTTCTTAACAAGTGCCTCAAAATTTATGCAGGCTGAGCAAAAGGCACGTGAAGAAAGTGAAAGATTAAGACAGCAGGAGCGAGAACAGATAGTGGAAAAACGAAAAAGAGATCTGGTTTGTTTTGTCACATTTCCACACTATTATTTATCGTTAATTGCATGTTTCTTGTGAGCTGAATTTTTTTTCTTTCAAATCTTTTATTTGCTGTCTTGTTTCCCTATTCAGACTCTTAGAGCTCGCATTGCTGCTAAGGCCGAGGAAAAGAGGATGGAATTATTATTTCTTAAGTGGAGTGAGCACAAGAAAAAACTAGGCAATTTTATAAGGTATCGTAATACTTAACTGAGTAAATTTAAATATATTTGCTACTTTGCATTATTCTTCTAGCCTTTCCTTTCTGTATTCAGGGAAGAGTAGCCCTCACCCCGAATAGGAAGTCAGGCATATTTTCCTTCCACTCTGTGTGATGTGGGGAATAGCCTTTCTAGACTTTCTACCTATCCCATTTTTTGGAATATTCTTGAGCAACATCCTTTATTTTCAGATATTTCATGGCCTTTGCATTATAACCTTTTTATTTTAAGTTCATTTAGTTCACATGGGCTTTTTCCCTGTTTGCATCATCCTAGACACTGATCATTAAGCTTTCCATATCTCTGGTCATCACTCTCCACATTGCTTTTTTTGCAGGTTATTTCTAATTTTGGTCCAAAAGTGTGCATATTCACAATTTTATTGATCCAAAGATAAGTTTCCATTCATATGCAGAAACGTTGAAGCAGCCAAAAGCCGGCAATGTCCGGCTTTGCATGATTAATGGATTTCTTGTTAATTGATTCATAACTATACTCCTTTTTATCTTTTTCTTGATATCCATTCAGGACGGAAGCAGTGCCTCCAATATATTACACGTTCGCCAAACCACTGGATGAAGATACTTCTGTAACTGAGCAGAAAAAAGAACAGGTCAGTTTCTTTCTCTTCAACTTTACCTGGCCATCAAATTATTATTTGTGTAGGACCATTACCATCAGACAGGTTTTTCCCCTGAAAATATTTTCTCACCATATTGTATCTCCTTACTACGGGTCTTCCTTTTGCACATGAGTGTGTTGTGTGGGGTATAGATTTGTTTGAGATGTGTAAAAAATGTGGTTTTTTTACATAAGGAGTTGAGGATGTTTTGTCTGAAAGCAACATTGAGGGATCACTGAAAGACAAATGCAATCCCTGTCATGAACTAAAACTGTTTTAAAAGGAAGAAATATATATATATATATATATATATATATATGTGTGTGTGTGTGTGTGTGTGTGTGTGTGTGTGTGTGTGTGTGTATTCACACTGTCATTTACTTGTGGCCCTGGTTCATCAGATATTCCAAGAGTGGAAAGCTGCTACGAGGGAGGAATTGTCCCAATATCAGAAGCAAATTGGTGAAGAATACGTCTTGAATGTTGAGAAAGAGCTGGAGAGATGGCAAAATGGCCGAAGAGGCAGGAGACCAAACAACAATACTGCCGCGAATCTCCACGAGACAATGGACAAGGAACTTGAAACCCATAGGCTTGAACATGGACCAAAGACCAGAAAGATCCCTGGCAGTGATAACAATGAAGATGAGGAAGATGTTGAAGATATTAATGTTGGGGAGGATGACATGATGGATGATGTACTTGGTGTTGACGAGAACAATCAGAGGGGTGATGAAACTGCAAAACCAGAAGTAGCCAATGGTAGTCCACAGCTGGAGAACCAGGGTCAGTAGAGTACCCTCATATTTAAAGGTTTATATTATGCTTTGTTGTGTTTTACTGTTTTGATTCGTATGTACTTTAATTTCACTTTATTGGTAGTTGCTGTATGTTTTACGTCATTAGTTCATTTTGTTTGGTATTTATGGACCCATACATTTGTTGAGTTAATTTAAACAGGATTTTCTTTTCTTACCATCTACTTGTATTTGTTTAATTTTTAGTAAATATTTCAAGTTAGATTCCAAGTAGCAATGTCTGGAGGGACAAACAGTGGAAGAAAAAGATTGTGTTGTTTTGTCATTTGGTATTGGAGTTTAATAAGAGTAATGCTAGAGATTCTTAATATTTTTTTCCTCCATTCAATCTTTCTATTTTTAATAAGTGATAGGATCAATCAACTCATGACACCTGACACCTAATGAATGAATGAAAATCAACTCATGACACCCGACACCTAATGAATGAATGAAAATCATGTCAAGAGGAAAAATATTAAAGGTAAATATAAGAGGGAAAGAAAGCATTTTCTATTTAATAATTATATTTATCAAACTTTTTATAATTAAAATAGTTGTAATTTGAATTGTCTTAAATAAAAATTTAAAAAACCTCTAAAATGTTGTTTTCTTCGTAAATTAACCAAAAATACGTGCAACTTTTATTAGTTGTCTTCTCTCAATGACTCGATATTTTGGACAGACGGTTTAGTCCAGGTTAAGTGGTCAATGGATTGCTACTTGCTATATCATTCAGATATGAAACCAAATAAAAAGTACTCCCATGGTCCCAATTTATATTTATATGATTAACAAAAATTGAGTAAAATTATTTTTAATCTAATTTTTTAGAATATTAAATTTAATATTATTATACAAAATTTATATATTTATAAAAAATTACACTAAAAGTACCATTAAACACAAAATTAAATTTAAAAATAAATAAAAAAATACTAAAGAAAATAAACAAAGAAGAAAGAATTGTTTTGATCAATAAAATAAAATATAACATAGAGAAAAACTAGGTAGTGAGGTAAACAAAGAGTATATGTATGAAGCTATCATGGGAAAGGAATATAAAGAGCATTCCTAACCCTCGAATTGATTCAAGAGAGAACCGAATCTCTCATAATATTTGCCAGTAAATTGAACCGGAAGGCAACAGTACACCTCCATCCGGTTACACAACCGGCAGTATTCCCTAATATTCTAATATACAAAAACAAGCAAAAATTGTAACAAAAGATCATAAAGTTGTAATCAAACTTGTATTAGTATTGAAATGGAAACAAATATCCTCTAAGAATCAATAAAAGATAAATTCCTAAGGCAAGCAACAAAATTTCCACAAAATCCAGTAAATGAAACACTTAGGAATATGTCTACAAAACAACTGACAATGGTTGGAACACCAAGAAACCTAAGGGAATACTTAAGCCTTGAGACGACCGTAGAATTTCTGCTTCTCCTGTGTTGTCTGGAAGCGACCATGTCCAAACTTTGATGAAGTGTCAATGAACTTGAGCTTAATCTCCTCAAGAGCAACACGAGAGGTCTGGTTGAGCAGAGTTTGACGAAGGGTAACCACTCTTTTCTTAGGGCCAACACAGCATCCCTTGATCAAGATGTAGTCGTCCTTCACCACACCATAGTGAGGAAACCCACCCATGGGGGTAATGTCTTTCTCAGTCCTGTATTCATAATAGAAAATTGTAAACATTGCAGGAGAATAACAAACAATTAGATATGAAACATGAAGCAGTTTACAAAGTGAAATAGTCTGGTTGTAGTGTAATAACCTGTCAAACTCAGTTATGGCTTCATGCGACTCTTGTCCAACCTTGCCAAGCTTATAAATCTTTTTGTTCAACTCAGTTCGGTGATGGTATCCATTTTGACCAGCACGGGCAACTGTGAATGAAACTCTAGCTGGATGCCAGGCACCAATACAGGCAACTTTACGAAGACCTCTATGAGTTTTACGTGGAAGACGAGTGACACCCCATCGAGTCACAACACCTTCATAACCCTTACCCTTGGTGACACCAATGATATCAATCATCTCATCCTTCTGGAAAACAGCATCGACTGGCACATGCTTCTCAAAGAAACCATATGCATAGTCAACCTTCTGTGCAATTGTCCCACCATTAACCTGGATCTCCATCAAATGAGCCTTCTTCTGCTTCAGCCCCTTCATTTTCCTTATCTGCACAAGATAATATTAACAGAAAATAGTTTATCATGAGAATGTTTATAAAGCTACGGGTGTACACTAAAAGCAAATGGCATAGTTAATATAACACTCTCACTATCACTCGTTAAAAAAAAGTCGGAATGGAGTTTTTTGACAATATTTAGAATGAGTACCTGGGTGTGAGCCAACACACGAATGACACATGCATATTTCTTCATCTTCTCAAGCTGTGTTTCAATATCCTTCTTACCATCCTCAGATTCATATTTCTTTGAATACTTGACAAAAGCCTTTTTCTTGGACTTGCACCAGTTCTTGTAAAATCTCCTTCTCACCTCCTCACTCAGATGCTGAGCCCAAACTGTGTTGAGGCAACGAAGGCCACGAGGTGTCTTCACATAGCCAACAACTCCAACAATTACAATTGGAGGTGTCTCAACGATTGTCACAGCCTCACAGGTCTCCTTCTTGTGAAGTTCTGCAATGAGATGGAGATATTAGAAGATTGCCACATGTACAAATATCACAATGTTAAACCAAAAAATATAGCCATATTGGTTGATCTGAAGTATCAAGACTTCAATGAACTCAATTGAAAACTATTAAAAAATCAGAGATAAATGATAAACTTCATTAAAATGAGATGAGTAATAATTATTTTTACAAATAATAAATACATAGAATATAAGCATATGGAACTTACTGGATCCAGGTTTCTCCACTTCTCTGACAATGTGAGTCATTCCAGCTTTGTACCCCAAGAATGCAGTCAGCCTGCATGGTTTGGAGGCATCATCCTTGGGAAATGCTTTCACTGCAAGTTATACAGATCATCAATTTCACAGATAAGAAACTTAAAACGCTTCAAATCCGTTGATTTAACAAGCATAGACAGTGGTATGTATATAGTTCTTTCCCAAGGTTTGCTAAAACATTCCCTCATTGAGTCATTGAGAAAAACAGAGAATTAATAACATTCAATTTCTTCGTAAAAATATCCCACTCGCATACAGCAACAAAAAATCACCTAAACTATAGAGGCAATACAAAAAACAAAATTATTTAATTTAAACATAAGTTCTCAAGGAAAATGTACACCTAAACAGTCACCATTGAATTTTATTTTATTTTTTAAAGACATTGTATTATAAATCTGAGAAAATCAATGACAATAAAACAAACATAAAATAAACTGCTTACCCTTTCCCCTTTGGCGAGAAGCACGCTTTCTGGGAAGAAAGCCGAGTGAGCCATGCCTTGGGTGCTCAAACTTCCTGTGCGACATCCTTCTCCTCCTCCAAACCCTGCAATCCAAAGCACACTTGCGTAAATTAACAGCCAAACGATCATAACTTCTCAATTAATACACAGAAGCAGCGCATTTTTTAAAAAAACTGCGTGATTTCATTAAGTGAGGATGAGATGAGAGAAGCAGGGGAGAACGACAACCTGCTAGGGAGCTTCAAGCTTCACTCAACTGGGAGTAAAACCCTAGACAACCGACTGAGATTTATATACAGTTGGAAAATCACAGGCTTAGTTTATGATTATTTGTATACGGAACTCATATAGACACTAATCCAAGGCCCAATTATTGTGGGCTATTACCTATAGTCGGCCCAATAATAGACGGAAGTGGTAGCTGGGCTCATAAGCTGATAAGCCCCATAAAGACTGAAGGAGCTGGACGTGGTCTAAAAACGACTTCGTTTTGGGCATATTTTTTTTCATGTGTTCTATTGTAATATATATTTTTATAACTCATAAGTCATAATGTACATTATCTTACAATTTCTAACCCAAAAATTTATTATTTTAACATATAATATACATTATTTTAACATATAATGTATATTTTTTTGAAAGTACATATAATGTATATATTATTCTAAAACATAAAGTGTATGATTCTAACTTATAATTTACTTTATTCAAACTCATAAAATTCAAAGACGTTGAACACACCGCGGTCCATACAATAATTTGCCGTTAAGAGTAGCCGCAGCAATTTCAACGTATTTGTCTCCTCACGGACCTCATGGATGGATGATTTTTATAACTAATTTATATACCATTAAACTGCTGTAGATTATTGTTAACAATATTACAATTCATTGTAAAGCTGGATATATTTGTAAAAGAAATGAGGAAATTATTATGCAGATATGTATAGTTGATAAACCGAAAAAGAGAGAAGAACAAAGGGATAATACTCAAATCAGTGGTGAAAGAGTTTGCAGATTTCAGTACAGTATGATATCTGTACAAGCTAAGTGGCTTTGTATCTGAATTACCTTGCAGATTTCAGTATCATTTTGAAGCTAAAATGGGAAATTTGTATATTAAAAAAATAGAGAGAAGATTAACAAGCCGTGATATGGGAGGTATAGATGTAGCCACGGGGGAGTCTGGCGTGGGCTGATTCATCTGCAGCTGGGCAATCAGCAATCTTCGCATCCGAAGGACCGAGACTTTCCGGTACAGTTTCCATGATTCCGGTTAGATCCTCCGGAGATACCACTGGGATATACCTAATAAGTTCAGCGTTTTCAACCAATAAAGCCTTTTGCCTGTATCGGTGGTCCTGCGTGATAGCTGGAGACGGAGGAAAAATAACGTCAACCATTGGATCGTCATTCTCAGAGAATTCCGGCTCCGGTGGTTCGAGTTCAGTTCTTGGAGAGAAAGATGGAGCATGTGATGTATCAGTCCACATGCTAAATGTCTGTGCAACCTCAGGAGGCAAATATTTCATTGCCGGTGAAAATCCACCATGGAAGTCATTCTGAAGTGTCGGAGAAGACACCTTACGATAGCTTAGTGGGGCGGCGCTGAGAGGATCTATGAAATCGGATAAATGTCTAGATGGAGATGGCGTCGAATTGTGATTTCCAGTCGGAGAGTGATGAAATGAATTGTCATCTGATACATTCTTCGACGGCAGTGGCCTTTTTAAGTGATGTGTATCAGGCAAACGCGAACTGTCTTTAACGGCT